TACATCGGACTCTGATAGATCCACCTTTATTTCAAAATTCTCTGTGTCCTCCAAATGATGTTTACTCTCTAGGCCTTCTCTGATAAAGGATTCCAAAACGTCGTGATCTTTCTTCTTCATCACCAAAATCCTCACTATAAAAGGGTTGAAATTCTCGCGCCTTTTGCCTCTTTGACTTTCCTTGTTACCATCAAGGGTAAGTCCCCTTGTGTATCGTCCTCAATGTCTGCAAGCCTCTGCTGATGTTGTTGGACCTCTCACTGTATCTCTTTCCGAGTAGGCTCAGATATACATCTCCTTGGTGACATGATTAGAGTTTAGAGTTGGGAGGTGAAATGGTGTGTAAAAATTGATGTAGGGATGTTGATTTTGAAAATTAACAAGGGAAAATTACGGTTAGATCAAAGTTTGGTTGTGATTTGGAAATATGAAAGAAAATTTTTGGTGGGGGGTACGGTGGATGCTTGGAAACTCTAAGATAGGACTAAGGTTAGGCTAGCTCTGATACCAAATGTTACCAGAGTTAACCTAAGACCACAATAAAATATTACTTTTATTGTTGAATGTAAAAATGGATTACAATCAAGATACCTAAAAATAAGAAAACAACGACAGGAGCACAAGCTGGTGCGCATATCAGAGTGACATTGTTGCAATTAGAGGGGAAGTGGGATTTATGGCAGTTGTGTTGTGGGAGGACATCAGACTTGTGCCTTGGTGGAAGGAGTCGAGCTGATGGTCGGAGGTGGGTTGTTTATTTGATAGTCGCAGAAAGATGAGGCTAGTAGTGGCTACGGTTGTGTGGGAGATTGGTAAAGGGGTTATGACAGTTGGGGAAGGGTGTTTGCGAAGTGGCAGCTGGGAGGAAGCTTGGGAGATGGGTTACAATTGGGAGTTGGGAGGGCAGGTTGATATTGGAGTGACGAGGAGGAGGAATTACGATTGAGAGGGGTGGAGAGGAATGATAGCAGCTTAATCTGGAAAGGAGCAGAGGTAGTAGTAAGCGACAGCGAGGGGAGGGGCGCAGTGAGGCTGGTTTTGAGCAGGTGGGTGGAAGAAGCTAGGGAATACGTGGGGTATAGCCACCACCTTGGAGCAGGATACAATCGAAGCACAAACTAACCTCAGATACAACCCTAAAAATGAAGGGGGATGCCGACTGCTGTCCAAATAGAAATCTCATGAAAAATTGAACGCTAAAACAAGAAAATGCATATAAATATAGTAGATAACTAAGGTGGGGCCTCCCTCACTTGACAACAACCTTAGCCTCAATCCAAGGGCCGACACCCCTTATGGCTATCCTGCTGAATCAATTCAGCCTCCGGTTCAGCCCCAGGTGAGCTCTGTGTCAATTAAACTTCAACTAATATCGCCACGGAATCCTCAACTTGATTATTCAAGCAGATTGACGGCGATAAAAACTTAAAAATAAAAATTCTGCATGCAGTATAAAGTCATGATATTATATATAGTATAGAAAACCCAAAAAGGCTAATATATTAACTAGAAAGAAAGATACAAATACAATGTGTGGGAGGGCCCAATCATGACACCTTGCCCACACAAAAATCACAAATGGTTCTAAAACTAGAAAATACAGAAAATACAGAAAAGAAAATACAGAAAAGTACATTAGAGACTTAAAGAAAAAGCCTAAAAGTGCTGAAATACAAAATGTTAGGTGGCTAGAGAGCGATTCAATTTGGGTCTTTCTCGTACCTCTAGTTCTAGGGAATGAGCAATCTAATAAGTTGGTAAGATGGTAAGATGATTGTCATTGAGATGATTGTCATTGCCAGTAGTAACAAATGTATCATCCAAAATGTTTCCGAGCTGGAGTTGGTCTCATCCTTCTTCTTTCTCCTAGAATAGACCTGACATTCCTCATCCGAATATTGACTCACCTGATCTTGGTCTAAATTGTGTTGGAGATGGGCAGGTTGTTGAACATTAGAAGCAACTACATGTTGTACCTGCTGATCTGTTATTGTATCAAAGTAGCACTTTCGTGTATCTTGACATGTAAGTGAGTCTTCTTCAATAACAGTGGGTGTTATAAGCACAACTAGATCTGTAGTTGTAGTATGATGTTCTTCGTCAGGAACTGCGGTGTTGGAAAGATGATCGGGTTGCATCTTCTCAGCATGGATGATAGGTGGCTGATCTTTAACGATATCCGACCTTAGATGAGGAAGCAAACAATAATAAATAGTATAGTTGTGACCAAACATACTGCAATGAAAGCAATAAGGTTGGTGTGGTTTTATTTCAACATTTTGCCAATACCCGTTGTGTGCGGTTCCAATCCATATCTCATCTGGAGCTGATTGAGTGATATCCTTCTCAACTAACACAAACCACAGAAGGTCTGGTGACAACAAACGTAAGACTATTAACCTTGAGAGACTTACCGTAAGCAGTTGCTAAGGAGTAGAGAATTTCCAAGAACAGATGTAATTTTAACCCCGGAAAATTTATCCAAACTGAATGACAGGGGATTCCTCTTTTGGATCAAAACCAATAATCCACTTCAGAATTCTCATATAACGGTTGTCGAACTTGATAACTTTTTGTAATTGACGTCGTGAGATAACTGAATCAGTATGTATATATATAAATTCACATAATAAATTCTAAATCAAATATTGCTACCAATCTTGTTATTCACCGCTAGCGAATATAAAAGAATCCTTTTAAAGCCCAAAATAAAACCGTGTGCAATCCAAGCATCCATTTCGAATTCTAAATGTTTTTTAAAATCATGTATTTGAGCTTCGAGGATTTTCTAACTGTAATATTTTGTTGCTTTAAAATTGTGTTTGCATCTTATAAATTCTTCATATATCATACATTGCTTTGCAGGAATTTAAAATAATATGTATTTTCTCATTGTAAATGCATCAAACAAAATCAAATTGCATCTTATAAGCACACAAAATATCGTGTTATTGTATTCTGTAAACTGTATAAAAGTCATCTGATCGCATTATCACTCTTGATACATACATCTACAATCAACTAAACTTGGAGGAGTTCAAATATTGCATTTGCAATTCTAGATATTTTCCTACTTCAATATATTGTTTCAAAATATATATGCATCAAAATGTGTGTAAATTAGCAAATCAGCTTGTGCTTCAACCAATGTATGTTTAAATATTATATTCGAGAATGTTGTGTAGACTTAAGATCGCGTTTAAAATACCCACAAGTGATTTTATAAATTGACCAAATGCCTAACCCTAAATAGTTGGAGAATGCTACATAGGTTAAAATTAAATGTAAACTCAAATAGTTCTTGCTCCAATAAAAATGCAAAAATTTGTTAAAACATTTATGATTATTTTAAAGTTAAGACTCCTCATGTGTTAAAAAATTAAATCAAGATAATTAAATTACACACTCTTAATTTTTTCACTTTATTTATTAGGCAGGATTGTAACCATCACTCAACTAATCCGATCCTCCTCTTAAGGATTAGAGTCGATAGGTTTAGTAATTTCAATAATGACTAAATAAAAAAATACAATTGACAAGTCCAGATCACGTAGTTTGATCTTTCTTCTCATAAGGAATGAAGTTTACTAGACAAATATTTTATAGATATTCAAGTGTCAAATTTTAAATGAATTTTAAATATAATTGTTTCAAAAGTCCAAATTCTCTGATGATAGTCATTTTAACTGATAATTTCAACCGGAGGGGTTAGCTTTTCAAACTATATCAAGATTTTCAAATAAAAATTCTCAAAACAAAGAAATTAAAATATTCAATTTTAAATTAATCACTTAAAAAGGCTTTAATAAATGTCATGCATCCACCACAAAAGCTAGTTGGTGGTGAAAATTTTGATTGAACTCATGTGAAAAAGAGCTAATGTCACTTCGAGTATATAAATATATTCACACGTAAATTAATTTCACGCCAATATGGATGTGACCCGAGTCTTCTGTCCGCGTGGTTTGACCCAATAACTACAAAAAAGTAGCAGTTACGACAAAAACTTTATGACCGGGTGAGTTTCCGTTAAATGACACAATTATATTACAGTTATAATCGCAAGTCGTATATTTTTTTGTGGTTTTCTGCTCTTTGAGTTGTCAACCAGATGAGTATATTTGATTGACATAATGTCTTTTGTTAGTTAATGTCGACTTAAATTTGTCCCTTAAGACAAACATCCACCTCAGATCTACAAGGGTCTCTTGGACGATGCAATTTTGTTGCTAACAAGGTTGCTTCAGTTATATTGGGTCAACTACCTCCTATGACTATGTAGATCAGTGATTTCGATGACCCTGTATGATGAAACAATGAGATCTTGATTGGGTTCGTCATCATTTCTCTCACCATTCGCTTTAAGCTCAAGATGATAAATTTTATAATCTAAGACATGTATCTACTGTTACTATATGTCGAAAGCCTTAATCGAAAGTGCTCTTATGTTATCAAAACTAATTAATCATAAAAGCTTGTGCCAATGAGAAATCTCGAACCCCAAATAAAAAATTCCTTACAAAATAAGGGCAAATCTCTGGGCAATGTCTTATCTACCATCTCAACTGATTTCTAAAAATCTCACCCGGAATATCAAATACAAAGCTCTTAAAATCAACGAGAGTCTGGGGAGGAAATTTTTTGAGCCCACAATTATGCCAATAGTCAAACCGTTTAAACATAAATGTGCCCAGCGTGGTACATGCATTTTAATTTGTTTGAACAATTTTAAATTATTTGAAGCTCATAGCTGTTTGGCTAGAATTGACTAAGAGTAATGCAGTTCCCCAGAATTCTTAAAACTATTGACTGTTATCTTTCACTTATCAAGGCTTATTTGTGCTTTTGAAAGAATGAGTTTTCCTGTATTTTTTTTATTTCTAATCAGTTGAGTTCTTTCATTGTTTGTTATTTATTATATCTAAGATTTCCAAAGAATCTGTTCTTTTTCCAAATGAGCTTTGTTATGTTAATCACGCTCTAATAATTTCTGAATTCAGCCTTTTGGGATCAGTTGTAAAGAAAATCTTGTGAAAGAATGTGAGGAGGAAGCTGGCATTCCAAGGTTTATCGCTGAAAAGTAAGTTTGCCATCTACACGTATTTCAGTGATTATGTTACAGCTTTTGTATGTTTTCTTACATGATTAAGCATGCAATGCAATTAACAAAAAAATGTAACAACTTGTAATTGGGACCGGGTAGGGTTGGTTCAGCTAAACAATGCTAGAGGTTCGTAGTATTAGGAGGGGAGATGAAAGAAAAGGTGGGTCATAGCAACAAAGATGAAGATGAAGGGAGGAGTCGACCAGAAAGTCGATGCAAGTGGGGGATTTAGTTCACAATTATAAGAGGACATGAAAGTGGCAGTGAAGGCATACCCTGTCGAGTGAAAGAAAAGCGACGGATAGGGAGCATGAGAGGAGAAGGAAGCAACAACACAAGCATGATCGAGCGAGCTTTGATAGGAGACGTAGGAGTTAGAGCGATCGATCCCTATAATATCGAGATCAAACAGGAGGCACATGTTTTTATGAAATGTGAATCGCAAAGGGGCATTAATGATAGAGTGGCAAAAAGGTGAATGAGTTTGAGAAGCCACTGAGACTAGAGGAATATCCATGGAAGGGAGAGATTGTTATAGAATAGGGACCACGGAGATGATGAGTATAGGAGTGTTTTTTGAAAGTGGTGAGAAAAAGAGCATGGGAAGAAAGACAATCAACAATTACCCATATAATATCATGATTCTGATTCTGACGTGATCTCGACAAACCAATAACAAAATTCATCACAATTTCCTCCTATTTCCACTCTGGAATCGGTAAAGGTTGCAATTGACCTACATGACGCTGATGTTCTACCTTCACTAACAGACATGAAGACACTTGGCCACACATTTTGCCACACACCTATTCAATCATGGTTACCAAAATGCTTTTTTGAATCCTGTTACATTTTATTGCTCACCGAGTGAATAGTATAGCCGGATAAATGTGCTTCCTCCAGAAGTTCCTTCCTCAGATCATCAACATCTAGAACATGAACCCTTTCTTTAAACCTCAATAGACCATCATGATCTATCACATATCTCTCCAAATTGTCTGCTTGAACCTGTTCCAAAACTTTATGAATACTGCTATCTTTGGCTGAAGAATCTTGTCTATGCAAGCACAAAGCGAAAGCCGTTCGACTAAGGCTCGGCTTCTACCTGCACGTAGCGATCAACATGGAAACCTCTCGATCTTCCTCGCCTCTTCACTTTTCTTGGTCTAGCTTCGACACAGGGGAGTTCAAGTCCTTTTCTCTTCTTCTAAACGCACGAGAGCACGGCACCTTTCTTCCTCTTCATTCGCCGCAGGCACAATGTCGAGCCTTCGCACCGTGGCAGTGCTCTAAGTCACAGTCTCTGCCTTCCTTCTCGAATGGTCGACTAGAGCTGGGTGTCGTATCTTAGGTATGAGACTCTAAACTCTTTTTCTCCTTTCTTTTCCTTCGGTCCTAACCTCGACACAGAGCAGGCATGCATCATTTTCTTCCTTTGGCTAGGGCACGGGAACTTCTCTCTCGATCTCTCCCGCTGTCTCTCTCTTTCGCTTTTGGTTTGATGGTTCAAATGAAGAGACGATTGAACGATATCGATATGTTTGATCCGAAAGGACGCGTCTCTCTAAACGACTACACTTTTCACTTATTATTATTATTATTATTTATTTATTTTTTTAATAAAATTTCTGTTATTTCATAAATAATGAGAAGACAAATTCACAGGATTGAGTCCTGAGATTAAGTTGGCTAGAAGGCATTGATGTCTATGAATCTATATATAGGTTGCTAAGTTGATGGAAAGGGCCAACGAGAAAGGATAGATGTTGAAAAGATTGTTTACAAATTAGATTGGTTAATATTCAATTTTGGTAAAAATCAAGCTGATTTATAGTGGGACTGGTCTAATTTAAATTTGACTTTATGGAGGATGGGTGAAGTCAATTTTGATGCATGCCGACTAAATCCACAAGTCATTCTCATAGATGAATACAGGCTTCATCTGGTGAAAGCCTGATAGTGAAAATGGAGGTCAACAAGGTGTTTCATGGTTTGAAGGCTAGACATGTAAGTTCAGTCTTTGGAGCATGCAATTCAAATGTAAAATAGATTGAAGATGATAATCATCCTCATAATCTGGAACCAATTCTTCCCTGTGCTGATTCACGACTCAAGTTTATTGGTTTAAATTGTGGTAAAACTAGAGTTTTTGATTCTTTGGTAATGCATTATTCATATGAATTTAAATACAAAGAGCGACTGAGGGGGAGGCTCCAACCTTTTTGGAAGGAAAGGGCAATGTATCTATGGATTTCCATTTGGATTAAATTTCTAAATTTAAAATTAAGTCCATTGGCCGTAATCTCTTCCAATAAAATCAGCCTTGCACTAAAGTTCAATTTATTAAAATTATTTTGTCTTATATTAAGCGAAATTTTTTTCATGAATTGCCGATCCAAGTATTGTGATAAGTTAAATTAAACAAAATTTATGTGCATGCTAACTTTGTATTAGGATTGGCGTCATTTATGTTTAAGTTTTCAAACAGCACTATAAATATATTTTGTTGACATCATTTGTATTACATTCTTTATATTCTTATACTTGTTATTTAAATAATAAAAAATATCTAGTATTGTTGATGAGTTAACAATTGTTGTGCATTTACGAGTTTATGTTTTAAATACTGAACAATTGTTAACAATTTTGCATTTTTCTCATAGAGCTATCTCTGTTGGAGCAGTGTCCTATGTGGACATTGAAGGGCACAAATTTAAGAGAGATGTACTTTTCTGCTATGATCTTGAACTCTCATCTGATTTTGTTCCTAAGAATGAAGGCGAGCTTTACTGCTTCACTTTTGTGCTAGTGAAAATTTTCCTTGCCGCATGATTTTTGTTTCTCCATATTGCTTGCCTAAACATTTACCCTCATTTGCGATGTAAGCATCTCATTTAAACTATTAACAAGGTGTTACTGTAATGTGATTTTTTTAATTGTTGCAGTTAAGGGAAATGTAGGGTTGAATTCCATGTGGGTTGGTGTTGTAGTCCAAACCTCATTTTTAACTTCACTTATGAGTGGAATTCCCAAAGTAAGTTTTTGTTGACCCCTAAAATAAAACAATACAAAATGAAAGGAAAAAAAAAGGGAAATAAAATAACATTAAAATTTCTGTCTGATTCTGGTCGGTTCACCGAATAACCGCTCTCGTTGTTTATTTCCTTGTTAAGAGCTAATTCGACGTCCTTGGAGAGTTTTATTCCCTTGTTAAGAGCTAGTTCGAAGCCCTTGGAGAGTTTAGATCAGGCCAATTATAAAAAATACCACAAAAACTATTGTCCCGCTCGTCTCCTTCCCTGTTCAAATCGAAATCCCTTCTTTGTCTCTTGTATGTGATTGGTGAGACGATCACAGTTAGGGCTAATAAAAAATACAACCATGGGATCACCACAGACGAGACCTCCGAAACTCCAAGTTGGAACGGTTGATTCAAAGCCTCGCTCGCTTCCCTATTTGTCAAATTGGTAGAGTCTCTCTTCTTTATCGGAAAGAAAGATGCACAAAGACTTTGCGCACAATATTTTCTTCAGCCGATCTGTCTTCTTCTGCTTTGGTCATGATCCAACCGACAGGAAGTGCAACGTCGGGATCGCTATGCACGAAGATTTTTGAAACTACTCTTCTAGCCACACATTCATCCACAAAAATTTAGCCCTCAGAGAAGCAATGATGAGATCACAATAAACCAAGAATCTGAAGTTTCTTGAAGTTCGACAAAGAAACTTTTGTGTTTGCGCGATCCACCCAAAGCCAACACCGAAAGCTCTCGACAAAGCTTTAGATTAACCAATGTTCTTTATAACATCTCTAGTAAGGGTAAGGAATATAATTTCTCTTATTTGTACAATCTCTCTCACTACTTGTTTTACTTTTACACTTCACTAATTTCATTGTATGAGGAAGAGTACTTTTAATATACTAAACCCCATTTTATGACTTTCACTAAGTATTTTAGTTTAGGAGTAGAATTATTATTATAGTGATAATTGTAGGATATAATCAAAATCAAACCTTTATCGACCTTCCAAGCTAGGGCATGTTATTCTAGACTAGAACTTCTCTTGAAAGCCACTGTGATTAACCTCGATCTCTGTGGGATCGGTATTCGGGGCTTATTCAAAAGCTCTATATTACTTGATAACGTTACGTATACTTGCGTAGAATCCCTACTATTTAAAAATATAATTAAAATCTTACTTTGCTTGGGATCAAGTTTTTGGTGTCATTGCCGGGGATTAAAATCTTCAAGTAGTGGTATCAACTTCATAAATCCTTACGTATAAAAAATATCGGGATTAAACAACAAGTTTACTCCTTTAATTGCGGCTCGATACAACGCACACGACCTTCCTCTTTCAGCTTAGGGCTTGGGATCAAGTCACTGCGTGTGTAGGATGATCTCCTGCACTCTCCTGCTCTGCACCAACACTTTACGAGAGCTTCTTACTCACGTCTTCCTTCCATCGACCGGGGTGTTGTCAATCATGAAAGATGGAAATATGGCAGTTAAATTAAGAGTTTTCTATGATTAGAAGCTTCTTTATTTCTAATATATTTATTCTGATATATTTCCTTTTTAGCTGAATATTTAGATTAAGAATATTTAAGTTATCTAAAATCAATTATATGCACTTTATTTTGTACCTAAAATAGATTGTAAGATTGTTATTTAATGGAACGAAAGAAAAGGGAAAAGGCAATCGAGCCTATTCAAATTTCAGCTTATTTTTTCTCAAAACTTTGACATGGTATCAGAGACAAATTTTTGCCCTAATCGCCGGTAGTTTTTGCCCTAATCACCGGTAGTCGTTGAAGGACCTTCAAGACTTCCTTCTCGCCAGCTTTCTTGCGGGAAGGGAGGAAATATTTCTTTTATTTGATTCGTTCATCAACTATGCCACCTGCTGTGATGGCAAATGATGTCGGTGCTGCTTCTTTATCATCCTCTTCTTGGTTTGGTGGTTTATTTGGTGCTGGAAAGATTTAGGCGAAAGCAGCAAAGATTCTTGGGTTGAAAAGGGTTGTTATGTTTGTATTATTATTTGTCTAATTTGGATCTTTTTCGCTAGGCATTGTTGCTTCTGTGGCATCTTCGACTGCTTCTTATGCTTCGCTTCGTCCGCTTAAGCTTCGGCTTCGACACTCCTTAGATCGATGAGTTCGGTTTCGGGTTCGGCAAACCATCGATCTTAGGCTTCAACCTCTCGGGCTTCGGCATTCTCAGGCTACGGCCTCTCGGGCTTCGGCACTCTTGGGCTTCGACACTTTTAGGCTTCGACACTCTCGGGCTTCGACATTCTTGGGCTTCAGCATTCTCAGGCTTCGGCATTTTTTGGGCTTCGACATTTTTGGGCTTCGACACTTTCAGACTTCGGGCTTCGACACTTTTGGGTTTCGCCATTTTTAGGCTTTGGTATTTTCATGCTTCAGCACTTTGAGGCTTGGACACTAACGACTTGAGGATTTTTTGTCCCGACAATGTTATCAGCTTCTTGTTGGCAAATTGATGTTTCCTGATCAGTCATCATCAATTTGAGGAGGGATGTCAATCAGGAAGAATGAAAATTAGGCAGCTAAATTAATAATTTTTTATAATTAGAAACTTCTTATTTCCAATATCTTTATTCTGATGTATTTCCCTTTTAGCTGAATATTTTGATTAAGAATATGTATTATTAAGTTATCTAAAATAGATTATATGCATTTTATTTTGTACCTAAAATAGATTGTAAGATTGTTATTTAATGGAATGAAAGCAAAGAGAAAAGGCAACCGAGCCTATTCAGATTTCAGTCTATTTTTTCTCAAAACTTTGACAGGTGTTGCAGTTTTTTCCTTCAACAAAGCCGCCCGACCTTCAGGTAAGTCGTTACAACAATTTATAGAGCAATTTTACCCTTTCGGTTTCCTACTCACTTCCTCCCCTCTTCGATTCCCTTGGGTATTTCAAACAAGGCATCACAATCTTCCTTAATTACAAAAATTTTGTTCTCTAAATTTAAAAATGAGCCACAATTCACATTTCATTAAGTAAGTCAATATTAGCTATCCATAAATTTCAGGCTGAAAATTAAGGGTCATTCATTAAAATGAAAAGTAATCGCTGTAAGGTAAAGACCGATACAAGGAAACTCAACTATACTTTAGATAACAACACGTATTTACTGAAGTAAGAAAATATGCTATGAAAAATACCCTTATCTATAAGAAAACGCCGAATTCATTAAATCTTATCATCATCACAGCAGTACGTTCTTCAGGCTCACTTTGAGTAAGGGAATAAACTCGAGATCGAATAAGTTGCCTTGGTTGAACTTTAGTAGGAGTTGAAGCTATAAACTATTCTTTTTTGCCCCCTTGTAATATTCCATGAAATAGTTTCACATGTTTTTGATTTTTAGTGCTCTTCTGGCCAAATACGGTGGACAATTTGTTGTTATATGATCAGATTGACGACACTAATAATAAGTGTTAGAGCCCATCAAACATTCACACTTATGTTGTCTTACACATTTGTTGCAAGTGACTATAGTACTATGAGTTGTATCTCTGCTAAATCCACTCGAATTGTACTTGGATTTTTCTCATTGGATCTCTCCGATTGATTTTCATGTTCTCCTCATCAATATTCTTCTTCTTCTTGTGCATCTCATTATATTTTTTAGTAAGTTGATCATCAATTTTCACTCTTCTAGCTCATTTCACTAATAGCGAGTATTCATCGATCTCCGAAGGCACCAATGACTGTCTGATCGAATTCTTTAATCCCGAAAGGAATTTCTAGCACATTTCTTCTGTAATGGCGATCAACTGTGGAACATATCTTGACAGTGCATTGAATTTTGCTTCGTACTGTATGACTATCTTCTTTCCCTGCACCAACTTGATGAATTTATTCTGCATCTGTCTCCCAGCGGATTGGGGTACAAACCATTCTTTGAATAGCTCTACGAACTCCTCTCAACTAGCCATCATATTGGGTATGTCTCCTAGCTTGTCTTAATGCTGCCCACGCCACCAGCTTTCAGCTTCTCCATCCAACACAAAAGTAGCTAACGTACGACACTCATCTTTCATACGGACAGACCATACTATATAATATATTCTCAATTCACATCAACCAATTCCCTGCTTCAATTGAATCTTTAGTTTTCTTAAACAATGATGGACGTAAATCTTCAAATTTCTTTATGTACTTATTCACAGCGACTATATCACTTCCGATAGATTGCGATTTGGACTCCTCAATCTGTTAAGTCATCGATGCAATCATCCGGGTCAGGACATTCATGTTCACATTTATAGTCGATTGTACTTCATTGTTTTCTATTGAACTTTCTTCTTCTATAATTTCAAGTGTATCTCTTTGCCTGAATGGATATAATTATTAATTTGAATTAACTTTAATTTTTAATTTTTATTATTACTAAAATTTTCTTATAATTATCATATTTGTTCTTTCATCAAGATAACATTAATTATAAACCTTGGCTCTGATGAATTAGCTCAATGTTTACTTTTCATGACCGGGGCTTTGGGTTGAGTTAGCTCAATGTAAGTATGTGGTTTAGGCAGGAAGTTAGATCAATGTAACTACAATAGATTTGATTTTTATATAAGTAAATATTCATGATTTTGAGGATGACTCTTAGGAGACAAATGAATAGATATATCTAGTTTTATGGAAGACAACGTGGATGGACGAAGATGGGATAGATATTAAGATTAAACTTGCCTAGGCGATGCTTACAAATTTTTTCATCTTCTTAAACAGGTTTTTTAAACTTGAATATTGTGAAACTAGAAATCTCATTCTTTTGCACGATGCATTTTACACAATTATTATCATTTTATGCTCTTTAATAATTATCCTTATATAAAGCTAAATTTACATACATAGCACACAGCTTATGTATTTACATATATCACATCTAAACTTCCATATATTTTGGTGCTTTAAACTTATACATGAAAATATGTATCTTACTTTTGAAAAGTGGTAATAGTGTTATTTTTGTCCTGATATTAAAGATTTGAGTACTATATATGTTAATATGTAAGTTTAGGTGTGAGACATGTAAATTCATAAGAATTGTGTGCTACGTATGTAAATGCCTCTAAAATAAATTTATAAGTTGATAGCTATTTCTTTTTAATGCCTCATGTCACTGAGAAATATTTGCGTACATAAGACGTACGCAACACTGAGTACTTCAGGTAGGTTACAGGGAGGGTATTGAAGGTTATATCCGCGTTATAGCCCTGTAACCTCCCTGTAACCTCCATGTAACTTAGAAATATATAAAAATAGAAACGCGTAACTTACTAGTTACAGGTAAGTTACATGGAGGTTACAGGGGGTATAACGAGGATATAACCCCCAATACCCTCCCTGTAACCTACCCTAACGTACACAAAACGTACGCAGCTCTGCGTACGTCTCACGTACGCAAATATTTCTCCATGTCACTTAGCACCTCGGGCATTCGGCAATTATATCACCTTTACAATATATAGTACTCTAAATGACACTTAAACAAGCGTGCGCACTTTACCATTGCGTTGTTATTATGTAAAGCTATTTGCTCACTTTGCATGAATTATCTTAATTGTTGCATGCATATATAATTGATGTTCAATTTCAGATAATTGCATAAATGGTAGAAAAAAAAACAAATAATTAATGAACAATTTCTTATTTGGTACTTTGCAGATGGCGAGGTTGATAGCTTCAAACTGATTCCAGTAGCTCATGTTGCAAACATTGTTCGAAGAACTGAGTTCTTTAAGCCAAACTGTTCACTCGTCATTGTTGATTTTCTCTTCAGACATGGGTATGCATCCTCTCCTCTTCCTTTTCTTGGTTTGGTTATTGCTCAAAGTCTGTATATACCACCTTTTTTTTTGTTAATAAATTAAAAGTTTGCGGTTGTTGAATGAGATTGCTGGAGTGCTCTTGATATCGTTCTCTTTATTTTCTTTCTATTCCAAGAGATTGACTTTTTGAGAGTAACGGGTGCATTATTTGGTCAAAATAGAAAAACCAAAGTGAACTGAACAAATTTGGTTGATTCAATTATGTTTCAAAAAAGTATTTCGGTTTTTATTTTAACATCTTAATATTCGGTTTTAAAATAAAAAAAAAACTAAAATGTAATTAAAATTTCATATTCTATTTTAATTTCATTTCAAAACAAACTGAAAAAAATCAAGGTTTACAATCTACGCAACATTTGATTGAAAAAAATCGACGATTCATTAGATTAAATTGATATTAAACATGTAAGAAATACAATTCATAATATTTGTTCATAACCAAAATCTAATAAATAATTAAGTTTTGGTTTGTTCATGATTGGGTCGTTTAAACCAAATTAAATTTTGTTTTGGTCGGTTTTATCGGAATTTTGATTTGTTTGGTTCTTTGAATATTGGATTTTGGTTGCAATCAGCTTAAATAATTTGAAAACTGATCCATCCTAACCGATTGAATGTTTCCCTTAGTTAAGAGTGTGATTATATAATTCTAAAAGGACTTTCAAGGAAGGAGGATTCAATGTAGTAAAAAACTGCCTTCAATTATCATAAGTTACATATTGGATGTCTACTCATTCCATAAAGATCTTATGAAATCATTCAATTCTTGTTGCTCCTTATTTTTTCACATATTCTTTCAATAATTCTCGCTATTCCATTAATATCTTGTCCTCTTGTTAGTTTTCAAGTTGATTGGTTGGTGAAGATTTAATTTTTTCTGCTTTTGCATTGCATCCTTATTGTCCTTCATCAGATGACTACTTAAAAGTTGTAATCATGCAGGTTCATTAATCCAGATGACATCGGTTACTTATCGCTATTGCATAGCTTGAGGAGTGGAATATGCTCTTGAACCTTATTAAGGCAAGTTGTTCTGTTTCAAGTTTCAAAATGTGCAATTATTGTAGTGTCTTCTTATTGTTGGTTAGGTTAAAATTTGTATATTTAATAATATGAGAAATTTACCTACATACAAGACAATTCTTTTTTATTTACATGTCCAATACCTAAACTTTTGTATTTATATTTATAATACTTTAGTGTCATAAACCTATATATGAAAAGACGTATTTCACTTTTAAAATGTAAAAGTGGTATTTTTGATTTGACATTAAAGATTTGAGTGTTGTGCGGATGTATATGATACTTTAGGTGTTAGATTTATAAATACATAAGAGTTGTGTTGTATGTAAATACCCCTGTTACTATTTGCTCTTCAAGTCCTAAAAATTCCAACTAATCAGGCTCATCTATGTTTTTGGCGCTGCTGCTATTTGTTTTGAAGCATACTTATTCTTGCATTTTCTTGAGGATGAGTGCATGCATAGCCTTTGAAATTTTGCTGTTTGTAAAACTAGCAACATAGTAATTTTTTTAACTATCAAATCGGTGCATTTACGCGTGTTACAATTAAATCAATGTGAATGTGATGAGAATAAAAAGTATTGGTTAAGATTTTGTTATGAATTTTAATATTTGAGTGAGAATTTGAAAGTATGATTAAAGAGGGCACTATTTCGTGAATAATCAAGTTTCGAGTTCCATGTATTTGATTGTCCCTTTTTTCATCCACGTATGCATGTAAGTATGTATTTGTATGTATGTATGTAAGTATATATCTGTGTGTTTGTGTGTGAATGCGCGTTTGGCAAGGGCGTGCACATGGGCGGGCAGGGACGGGGGTGCGTGCGCATGTGTGTGTGTGTGCGTTATACACACACGCACGCACACACATACATATGTATGTATGTGCCTTAGCCTGACTCATTGGTTGCAGTCTTTGATGTAAGTCCCTCGGGTCGAGGGTTTGATCTCTGCGTAGGGTCGAATTGCACATGTTTCTGGAAGGGGGTTCGCCCCTCAGTCAGACTATGAGGTTGTATATGTTTATGTACAATACCATGTATGTAGATATGTACATATCCTGAATAAATGTCATGTTTGGCTAAAAGGCTTGAGAGTTAGTTTTAATGAATATTTTTTTTTTAATGATGTTTTGTACATTGTCTAGAGTAATAATGATATCATAATAGTCAGCAGAGAGATTCAGTGCTCTTGTAAACCCTTGACTGGTAGTAACGTTATTATGGAAGAATATTGTTGGTAGTCATGTTATGATGTATGCATGTTTTTCGCATTGTCTGCATTAGCACATCCACACTTGCACCCTGTCGTGCACTTGTGAGCATATGCCCTCATATGCTCATGTCAAGTAGTTGTGCCTCACATGGGCACATTACTCATGTCTACTTTTTGCATCCTAAAGTCACTCTACACTTCATTGCAGGTGCCTGTACTTCCACTTTACACTCTTACATGTTTGCCTTGCTTAACGTCCCACATGCTTCATGACTTGCATGCTTGAGGTCTACATATGGGTTTGTGTCGTCACACCCTTCACTTTGGACACTCATGTATTCACTTTGTGGATAGCTTGCACATCAAGCCTACTCGGTGCGTAATTCTCCTTAACGTGAATTATGTCACTCCAATTCTTACGACACCACTTGGGAACGTCGAAAGTGCTTCACACTATGCCACTGGTGTGGGTCATGCTCCTTAGCCTCTGAACCGATCCAGTGCATAGTGCTTGTGCTCCTGCACATTCTTTCTTTGCATTATGTCACTTAGCATAGGTCACGCTCCTCATTCTTTGAACATATCTAGTGCACGTCATCTGTACTCTTATAAATTTTGTATTGCATCACTGTACACACTCGATCATTGTACATCTGCATGTGTTTTCCTCATTTGTTTCGATGACGGAATAGACTCTTTAGTTGAGTGACTTGTTTTTCGCGGTGCGATAACGAGCCATTGTTGACAAGGATATCTCGGTGAGCAATGCAAGTTACCATATCAAGATCAATATGCGTATTCTGCCCACACATTGCACACACTTAGTTGTTGTGAGTAGGACACTATGCGTTAGATGGTGTATCATGCTAGGTTTAGGGTGTTAGGTAGTCATTTCGATGTTCTAACTATAGTTTTATGTTAGTTTAGTTGCCCTAGTTAGACATCATTTGCTTGTTGTTTTGTGTGTTTGTCGGAGTTTGAGACATGCACACTAGTATATAGTTTTCTTGCAGGGAGTCATGTCCAACAGGGAGGAGTATTAATAAGTTAAACTAACGCATTTTGTGCAGGTGCTTGCTTAGCTCTCCTCACACCAAACATGGGCTCATTATGTTGCATGTCTTTTATCATGTACTAACCCCGTTGTTTTGCAGTTTAAGTCTTTTTTTTTTACTTATATCATGTACTTTTTAGAGTCCATTGGCTCGAGACTGTATTAGAAATAAGGTATGGACACGGGTTTCAAGACACACGGGGATGACTAAGAGATGATGACTCATGTCTCGTACCTTAATTCTTATTTTTATTTGATGTAGCGCTAGGGTCAGGTATGTATATGATGTGTCTTGCCGTAATTTGCTTTTCTAGGATATATTGTTGACCCGACATCATTTGGGCCTTTTATTCATTATATTTGGCTTGCTTTTCTTACTTTATGTTGTATGTTTGCCAGTTTCTCCTTTTATGATTTGTGGCTTATTTGGGAATAGTGTGCAAATGTAATTTAGGCTTTCTAAGTACCTTAAATTATATTTTTTTTTACAAAATCCTAATAAAAGATTAAGGCTAATCAAAATTTAGTATTAAAACATTACAAGATTTTCAAAATCTGCTTTTATTCTCCAGCATGGCCTCCGGGTTATATTTAAAAAGGTTTTACCTTGCATGACTCTCACCTCAATCATACTAATAGGTCTTTCATATTAGGACTTGATGAATTCTACATCATTTTTGCATGTCCCGAGTAGAAGCACTCGCGCTTCTTCAACCAGCTTAACCAAACATAAGATTTCTACTTATGAGGTTGTCTCGGGTGCTTAGGGTGATAGAGGCTTCCTCGACTCAGATAGGAAATAAGTCTTTTGTGGGAGCGCCTCTAAATTTGAGTTATGCCTCCCTTCTCTTTCTCTCCAGCTGCTTCCTCACCATTTTGGCAGGTATAAGTTCAACCTCTGCTCTTCCTATCTGCATAGGGTCATAGGACTTAAGAGTTTCTTTCTCTTGAACTTAGGGCTACTAAGTTCTCCTTGGACAACACAATTCATAGATTGCTGACAAAGGTTCTCAAGTCGTGTTGGGACGACTACCTTCACGACCAGATAAACTTAATATCATAATTGCTTGTGATGATAAATTTGTGGTATCTTGACCCGACTATCTCTACCAAACTAGAATTACTCTCCTCGTAGATGTCATCTCGTAGATCTTGTTTGGGATATAGGGATTCACCCTCCCGGTCAGACCTAAAAGCATAGTGTGGACCCTACGAACCCGATTATTTCATAGGCCTCATTCGTCGATGAGCTATTACCCATTTGGGAACGTGAGGGGCTCACTCTCTGTTATGTGGCTTAGCTAGAGCTTTGAAGACATCGGGACACTCTTATGAGATAACTATCCTTTGTGACACCTTGTCACTAATCATCACTAAAATTTAAGCATGACTCTTTTAATCGAAAGTATATTTGGGCATCCTCCTAGTTGTATTTAACCAAAGGGATATGTTTCTTTGATGGTGCCCTTGAACCCATAATAAATACAAATTTGGTAGCTTACATTGGTATTCTCTCATAGATGTTCGGTTCAAGGTGTCTCGATCTGATTCTATTTGAAAATACGCCCTTGACCTATTGCATGAGTTTTACTTCACATGAGCTTTTCAGGTTCTTTACAAATTTGTCTGCTTAGTCTCTATCTTAATTCCCTATTTTTTTATCCCTCCTCTTCTCTGAATTGTTCTTATGATTCGAGTAAGAGGGCTCCTAAAAAAAAGGAACCTTAGGACGACAATTAGACAGGCTGTCGACCTGACTTTACAAAATGAACTGAAACATGATTGACTTCAAAAGTTTAAAATAGCTTGAGAGTTCTTTGATGACTTTTATGTACTAGCGAGCTAGGCTTCAAACATTCTTTTAAACTCTCTAAAAGAGGTGATGACTCGTGTAGGTAAGTACTTGAATCAACACAAAGCAAATTCTTTTAATGTCATAAATTAAACAACATTTTATAGTGTCATTTTCTCTTAACAAAAATACAACCGACTTAAAAGAATCTACATGGTCACTGCGGTCCGACTTCATTTTATATGATTCTAAGGATGGAATCTTCAACTTCCTTGTTGCTTCAAGTTCCTCTATATCTCTTAATAATAAGTTCTCCATTGGTCATTGCCTTCTTTTTCTTATGGCTCTTTCGTCTGATGATTCAAAAGAGCCACGCTTAGGGTTGTAGGTTTCGTCCCTCTTCTTCTTTTTCCAGCCTCAAACGAAGGGCCTTCTAGATCACTTAGAAGATCTTTTTTCTACGAGCCATTGAACCTAATGATGTTTTTTGTGTTCTAGAATGTGATCTAGAACGTGATTTGGAGGTTTCTTCTCTCATGTCTTGTATAGCTCTCAACATCTATTTCCTAACTCTTTTGTTTGGTGTGTTAAGATTGTTCTTCACAATCAATAAGATCTTTTTGTAAGGTTTGAATTTGTACTTCACGCTCATCGTACTTTTTAGGATGTTGAGTTTTTTTAGGACGTATGAAACAATATTGTTCGTAAGCTCATATAACAGATCTTATTTTATGAGGAATGTACAAAAGAAGATGGTGGATATATTGTTAGCGTTCGTATTCTTGTTTCCTTTTCTAAGTCCATGGTAAACGATCAAGAAAAAATAGTTCCTCTTCTCTTTCTTCGAGAGAGCCCCCTTTTTCTTCTAAGTCCTCCCCCTTATACAAAAGAGGATATAGGATGAAGAGAAATATAAATTACCTCTTGTACAGTACTACACATTTCCATGATTCTTGGTGAAAAGATTGTGATGTGGACGTCAAATGACGCTTTAATGAGGATGGACGGTACTGCAGATTTCCATGATTCTTGGTGAAAAGATTTGTCTTTGTATGTAGAAATGATCTTCTTCTATAGTTGGTTCATCCCAGACTAGATCGACCACTTCGGCAAGTAGGCTTAGCTCGACCACTTCTGTTGGTAGACTCAGTTCGATCACCTCAAATGATGGGTTCAATTCGTCCACTTCGGCTGGTGCGCTAAGTTCAACCATTTTAGCTTAGTTCGTTTTATGGGCCTCCGGGACCCTTAAAGTTTATTAATATTTCTATCTTATATATATATATATATATATATATAGCTATTTTTTCAGATATTATGTATATTCTTTTATGTTGTGGATTCTGCTTGTTGTTCTGTATATATAAACCTTTTTTCTCAAATATGAATGGTTGTGTTTCGATATACAATGACCTTGTAGTAATGTCTTCTGTATTCATAGATAAATATATGATTTGTAATTTAATAACTGACAGTTTAAAGTATTAAATTTTGATGAAATCACTCTTTTTTTTTAATTTTAAAAGCTAAAAAAAAGAAAAAAAAATAGCGAAATTATTACAAATTTTCTTAATATTAATTTATTTTCTTACCCTCCTTCATATATATTTTACAACCATGTATATTTTATGGATTAGATGCTCCAAACATCTTGCCATTCTCTATAGATCATGCAAGCATGATCTGCATTGATTTTGGAGCCCCGGTAGGTGCGCAACACACGCGGTGCAGGCCTACCTTACTAATGAAAATATTACTTGCAATATCCTTTTATTTTAATTTTTTTTAAAAAAATTAAATAAAATATCTTCCGACAAATAAATTAAAATTTATATCATACTTAATTCATAACTCATGCAAACACATATTGGTCAAAAATAATAAAAATTTACACAACACACCCAAAATACTAGTTATGTAATGAAATTGCAATCTTATAATTATATCATAAGAGTACAATTATTACATTAAATTAAAGTGGTTATGAGGTAAGTATAATCATAAGTGGTATAACATTGGAGATGAAAGTCTTGATACAATTAAACACAAATGCAATAATTGTAATATAACCCACCATAATTTTGATAATTGTTTGTATGTATCTTTATAAAGTGTGCAAATTTATGATTATTTGAGACTTTATGAAATGCACCCTTGAAGTTCATCAGGATATTCGAACTAGCTTCATTAAATAATAATAAATTTATTTTTAATTTATAATTATGAGTTTAAGGCATCAAGTTGGAAAAAAAAAATATATATTTTAGAAAACAAAAAGCAAAAAAAAAAAAAAAGCCTGATCAAATGCATAATTATTACAAATTTCAATAATAATAAATATGACATCAATAGCCTTAGATTAAATAAGTAATTAATTTTTATGCAATACTTTTTTTTTTCTTTTTATTTTTAGAAAGAGTAATGCATATCTAACAACGTGCGGAGCAATGAAATTATGTCGTAGAGGTGATCGGTCAGGTAACACAAGGGAATATTCTTTTCGTATTATTCAGGTGTTATTGTGTGTTATTCATGTGTTAGTGTATGTTATTCAGATATTATTATGTTATGAGAATATTTTTGGTATTATTATAACACAATAATATATCAATAATACTTGAATAACACACAATAACACCTGAATAACACATAATAACATATAAATAATGTGAGGGGAATATTTTCTTGTGTTATCGGGCCGATCAACTCCACGACGTAATTTTATTGGACTTCACATGTAGCTCTAGGTGGGAGTCCTGAATTAATATTTTTTTATAGAGATTGGGTGATATAAAGAGTGGCGGCATCTCTCCAGCAAATTTATCTCTCTCCAAAATAGAAATATTCGCCTCTCTGCGGATTTTCTCTTCTCCGGAACTCTCAATTTGTTCGCCAAACTTCCTTATCCCGAGTAATTGTAGTGATAGACAGAGTTTAGCGCAATTTTGATTGTGTTTGTTCTTTTGATATGAATCGGCATTGAATGTGAGCTAACTAGGGTTTTGTTTTTTTTACTGTATTTAACAGATCGGGCGGGATTTTTTTGGGGTCGTGATGGGGTTGGATTACTATGATATTCTGAAAGTTGACAAGAATGCGACCGATAACGATCTCAAGAAAAGTTACAGGAAACTGGCGATGAAATGGCATCCGGACAAGAATCGCTTGAACAAGAAGGAAGCCGAGGCTAAGTTTAAGCAGATCTCCGAAGCTTATGAGGTTATTTTTCAGTATTTTTATTTGTTTAGTTTTTGATTGAGTTGAGTATTTCAAGCTCTGCGAAGCCTCCGCATCTAATAATTTCTCCGGTGTTGTGATTCGTATTTTGATATAATATTGATTTTCTGGTGAATAAATGTGATCTAGGTGCAAGATGTACATTTCATTGCATTCTGTAAAGTCTGGATTTACTGATGAATAATCTTTTTGTGTTGCATTTTTGTGTTTTTTTTTTAATTTTGGAACTGGCATTTAAAACAAATTACAGAATGGATGAATCACTGGATGAATAATTCTTGATGTCTCTATCTTTTTTTTTTTTTCTTATTAGAATTATGGAATCAGAATGGATGAAATGTATTCATGATTCCGAACTATGGACAATTTATTTATTGTTGAATTCTTTTGAGACGTAGGGTCTTGTATTGTTTGTGAGTACATACAACCCGGTAAAGACTTTATATCATAGAGAACGAATAAGAGAGAGATGGATGATTTGTGTAACCACAACCAGCCAACCAGTAGACATCTTTCCCAAGCCGTTATGCTTTCACAATTTTCTGTTCTTCTCAACAAATTAGGCATTATCAACCTACATTCTAAATTTGAGAGGGAGTGTTAAAGAAACGCTTCTTATACTATACTGGGGATAACCTTCTATTTCGAAATGGTTTATAGTTATTAATTCTATTCTTATTATGCTTCCTGTACAAAACAATGTTTCAGCTTTTATAATGTATGTGCTGCAAGTCAGGATTTTGTATTGTATATTATTAAAGTGTTATCAAAAAACGTCAATGCATAATCCGTTTTCTTTTACTTTGAAGTTTGAATACACTTAATTTTCTTAGCAATAATTCCATAAATGAAAACTTTTTGCATAACCACCCTCGGACTCCCTTTTCTTCTTTGCATAAAACCTGTAGAAATAAGTGGCTTGTTTGATATTATCAGGTCTTGAGTGATCCAAAAAAACGAGCGGTCTATGACCAGCATGGGGAAGAAGGTTTGAAGGGCATGCCCCCTCCTGGTACTACTAGAGGTAGTGGTGCAAATGGCTCTGCAGGTTCCTTCTTCAATCCACGGAATGCCGAAGATATCTTTACGGGGGCGGGGCATTTGATTTCAGCTCGATGAACCGTGCAAAGTCTACTAGGTTTCAGTCCGCGGGTGCTGGGGGATTCTATGGTGGGGTCACAGGAACTGAGAATGTTTTCCGTTCTTACAGCGAAGGTGTGGGAGGGGGTGGTGCAAGCCAACTGAAGAAAGCTCCTGCTGTTGAGACCAAGTTGGCTTGCAGCCTTGAGGAGCTTTATATTGGTTCGAAGAGAAAAATGAAGATCTCAAGAAATGTCATTAAAGAAAATGGGTAAACCTTATTCATCTTTTTTCATTCTCTGCCTTCTATGTTGGTTGATTTTTGTGCTGCAATGAAATTTACATCAAAGTATAATCTAATATCTCATTTCTAAATAGAAAAGTGTTAAAATAACCCCTGGAATCTTTTTTGAGCTCAATTTTAATCCCAGAGTCTACAAAAGTGTTAATTTAGTCAGGTAATCATTTGTATCCCAGAGTGTACAAAAGTGTCAATTTTAAACCCCCCCTCCAAATTCTAGGTAATAATTTGTCATTTTTGTATACTCTGAGGCTAAAATGACCCCATGTAAATAGGCAGGAAACTATTTTGACACTTTACTCAATTCCTAAGTATGACTGAAATTGATAGTAGTATCTCAATTATCATAGAACACTTTATTCCCATTTGCTTCCATCCTGAAATTTCGGTTTACACTTTCTCATAGTTACTCCAGCAATTCCCTCTAATAAGCTAGTTTTTCTTTATTCTTCACACTTTGGTAAATATTAAATTACAGTGAGTACAACAACAACACCTTTATCCCACTAAGTGAGGACGGCTGCATAAATATTTTTTCTCAATTGTGTCCTATTCAGTGTCATTTTTTTCATTTAATTCTAATAAATTAAAGATCATTTTTCTTTAATTCTTTTTAGACCTACCTCTATCTTTCTTAACATAAGTCAAATTTAAAACATCTACTCTGCTAATCGGATCATCAAATGGTATAACGTGACCAAACCATCTAAGACGATTTTCTCTAACCTTGCTTGTCACTGAAGCTACACCAACTCTTTCACGGATATATTCGCTTCGCACTGGGTCTCTAAGTGTAAAAGTCTATCATCCACCTAAGTATTCTTATCTCAGTAACACTTAAACTTAGTTTTATGCTTCTCTTTTAAAGGCCAACATTCGCAGCCATAAAGCATTGTAGGTCTCACCATCATCTTAAAAATTTCCTTTAGTTGAAGTAGTACTTTTCTATCACACAATGGGCTCGATACATTCCTCCACTTCAACCGGTCGACTTTTCTATCATCCACCTAAGCATTTTATAAAGGTGGCTATATAACTATTGAATGAAACTCAAAATTTTTCAAGTCATTAATAGTATATATATATAGCTATCATACTTTAGCAGATCTGATTATAAAAATCAAATCTTCACCATAAAAATTTCTAGAAAGCACCTAGAAAACGATAGCTGAACTAGAACGTGTCAACAATTTCCAAAACAAAGCACCGGGAAAGCCATGCCAAACAAACACTTCAATCATTGTTTGATATCCCAATGATCACAATACTCATATTTTTTCAAACTACTCAACCCTAATGATCCTAACAACTAATGTAAATGCAAACTTTAAATGCAGCCAAACAGTTCCCGAGTCAGAAATCCAAACAATTGAGGTAAAACCTGGGTGGAAAAAGGGGACCAAAATCACCTTCGCCGGCAAAGGCAACGAGCAGGCGAACTCCGCCCCCGCAGACCTCGTCTTTATAGTCGACGAGAAACCTCATGAGGTCTACCAAAGGGAAGGAAATGATCTTATTGTTCATCAGCAAGTTTCATTATTAGAATCTCTAACAGGAACTACAGTAAAGCTGACTTCTCTTGATGGAAGGGATTTAACCATCCCAGTTACTGATATCATAATCCCTGGTTATGAGCTTATCATAGCTAAAGAAGGAATGCCTGTAGCCAAGGATCCTGGAAGGAAGGGGAATTTAAAAATCATATTTGATGTGAAGTTCCCAACAAGGCTTTCAGCTGATCAAAGATCTGCTCTCAAGCGAATTCTGGCAGGTCAAGTTGTCTAATTTTTATTTCTGAATTGTTTTTCTTTCTTTAGGATTTGTTTGGGATCATTTCTCTGTCTTTATTATTTTTTTATTTTTTAAAATAATAATTTACTTTTAAAAGCACTCGAAATAATTAATATTTATTTTGAGCCTTTTTAGAAATAATTAATTATGTTATAACATACTACATATATTCCGAAAATTAGAAATGATCCCAAATGGCCTCTCTTATTATAATTTTGACATGGGTTAATTTTTATTTTTATGGCATTTATACTGTTGATTAAGGAGAATTTGATTTAATAAATATTTTTTTATTATATCATTTTATTTTATATGCCAAATTGCTACATTTTCCTTTTATTCTTCATTTTTATTTTTTTTTATTTTAAATAAAAAAATCACATTTAAAAGGAAAAAAAAAGTACATTTCACTTTCAAATTAGTGTCATGTCATTAATTTGAGCTATATGCATGTAAATAAGAGTGTTTAGGCTTAGATAAATGTGCAAGAATTGTGTACCATGCAAGTAAATGCCTCTCAAAATTTTCATGATCTTGAATTTTAATGTTGCCTACAATTATAATCAATAATCAATAATCATCTTGGTAAACACAAATGTAAAAATTATAATCATGAAAGAGTTTGGGCCAAGTCATCTTCTGTTTGAACTTGATTATTTTTATAAAGTTCAATCTTCAACTTAAGTTTATACGTTCAACTTATTATATATATATATATATATATATATATATATATATATTATTTTAAGATAGTGCTATAAAACAATAATAAAATGATAAATAGTATTTTTTTTTTCTATATTGCCAGATCATGAGCTAACAAGTCAAATGGGAGCTAGCAAATTAGTCCTGACTAGTCCTACTCCTAATTTGGACTGTTAACTTGTCAGGCTCAATTTATAAACCGTTTATTAAGCTCCAGCTTGCTCATTCATGAGTATTCACTTACACCTCTTCTGACGGTTGAGAAAGAGGAAATGAAAATGATAAAACAATTTGCTAGATTTTGTTTGGCTCACTCATTTCATTGATTGAGAAAATATCAAAAATTTTTTGTCATTGCTGGAAAAATTAGAATTTTACAGAAGGATTTACATGCTGCACAATTCTTATGAATGTACAAATATAACACCAAAACTTTAATATTATTACAAATAACCCTAATATTTTTAACATTAAATCAGAGTTAACACTAGAACTAACATTTCATAAACAAATATACCTTTATATGCATAAATTTTAAAATGATTATAATTATAAATTATTACAAAATTTAAAAAACCAAGCTTTACATTTTAGACGTGTAAACATACAAGTATTGTGTTACATGCATATTTATGATGACACCAAGGTGTAATGATACGAACAGTAAAATTTGGGGTTAGAACTGTAAATACACATAAATTATGTGGCAAGTATGCAAATTTCCCTAAAATAAAATACAACATGAATTTCTCCAGCATGGAAGGCTTGTGCATCAAAGAAACCTTAAAGGAGGTTACAATGGTTAGTAGGAGGATTAAGTTAATTATTGAGCCTAAACCTCTACTACGATTGCATTGGCTTAATTACAAGCTTATAAAATTAATATACAAAAACATGTAATAGGTTATCACAAATAATATTTGATAGGGATGAATATATCGATTCCATCGTTCAGCAGCTACTGGAAGCTTCTAATTCTGCTGGAACTATCAAAATAGAATTGGTAATTAAAGGGGTTAATTACATGCGTACCACCCAATTCCTATATATTTACGTATCCAACACTTATACTTAACTTTCTACATTATATACCACCCAAATCTTTCATGCCACACTCAAATCCAACACTCTTTCATGCACAGGTAAGATGGCATTATGTAAAAATTGAAGTTTAGGCGTTAGATATGTAAATAAATAGGAATTTAGTGGTATGTATGTCAATCTTCTACAAAGAATATGTATATAGTTGTGCATATGAATGCTTATGCACATGTTCGTATGTACTTTGTCATTTAGATTTTGATGAATGACTCCCAAATTATATGGACAAAGAATTTGCCTTGGAAGATCAAAACCAAGCTGATTTTTGGCTCGCATCAACATCGATCAGAGCTTTCGGGCCATGAATGGATCAAACCAAGCCAATTTTTTTATCAAATAGGTTTGGGTCAAGAGTGGATTGAAGCTTTGAGTCGATCTATAGCCAAAATCAAATCAACTCGAGATTAAAATTTTAATATTCCTATAAAAGCCTACTATTCCCTCTTGCTCAATGGCTATAAGCGCAAGTAGGGGTGTAAAAAATTAACCCGACACGTCAAATTGACTCGAACCCTACTAAGAAAATACATATTCGAGTTGACCCAATTAAGTACGGGCCAAATTCCAACATGCTTAATTTTTCGGTTCGGATTCAGGTTAACCCAAAGTTGATCAAATTTGGCCTGAACTTGGCTTAAAATTAACCCGAATTTGACCCAAATAATAATCATGTATATATTAAATAGAATATGTGGCTCGGGCTCATGTTAATATGTTTAAAGACGGTTCATAATTAAGTTAACTTTCAGAATCATTTAATATTTGGGTCGAGTTCAGATCAAACAATTTCAAGTCGGGTCCAACCCAAATTCAACCGATGAACCCAATCAATCATGGTGCACAATGAAAGTACCAATATAGAACGCACCTTAGAAATTATTTTTAGAGAAGATCTGAAAATAATACCAGCTGATTCATAACAGCTGATCAGTCTGTACTGCTTGGGAGGGCCGAGGTTTCAGCAGTTGCCTCAGTGACGCCATTACACTGGAGAAGGAAGGTCTTTTCCAGGGCTCACTGTAGTTGTTTAAGATAACTTTTGTTAGGAGGGTTGGTAAAAAGAAAGATGAAATTAAGAGACATTTGAAATATGGGGCATTTACATGCATACCACCCAATTCTTATGTATTTTGAATATCAAGCACCAATTTTTATTTTTTACATTTATAGCACTCAAAATTTTTATATTACATTAGAAGTATACCGTCATTTTAACTTTTAAGAAGTGAAATATAACTTTTCATGCATGAGTAAGATGATGTGCATGTAAAAACTGAAATTTTGAGTGTTAGATATGTAAATACATAGGAATTGAGTGATTTGTATAATTTAAAGAATTTTCTCAACCTGGCCCAGCAAGACTCGATAATTGAAGCCACAACTGGGTTCATATCAGTTGGAACATCAAGCCTTCTACTCTTGAAGCCGACAGCCGCCACCACCTACAGAAGAAAATAATAGCCACATTGAGAAAAAATTATTACATCCGGACTCTGGACTGGACGCAAAATTTACGTCTGGAGACTAGTGGGAGCGTGTCACGTCGCAAGTGGGCCCCACCTCTCTAAAAAAACTACCCAATCAGTGTATTACAGTGGGGCCCACTTGTTACGTGGCAAGTGCCCGCTGGACTCCAGACGCAAATTTGTATCTGATGTACCACATTAAGGGTCCCAGCCCAAAGGCCCCGCAAGGCGGGAGTTTTGTTATTTTACAGAGAGAAAATCAGAAATCATGGCACTAATTTTCAAACCATGACAACTACGACCGGTAAAAACTATCTATAGCAGGGGAAAAAGTTGGCTCAGGATATCGTCATCAAATTTTTTGTCAAGATAGATCTCTTAAGTTGTTCAATTTACATTTAGATGAGATAATAAATGAGAAATTTATATTGCACGCATCTCAAAGCCAATGGTATTGAAACCAATCATGAACAAAATTTGATCCGAATATAGTGACCCAAAATTTCAGTTTTAGCATTAGAGGAATGTTTATAACTGGCTACAACAAGTGTTTATAACAACAATGAATCATTTTGGAAGATATAATAGGTGTTAGAATTAGGCGCCCAAATCCAACGCTGGCCTTTTCTAATTGACTAAAATTGATGAGACAATCAGGCTACTGATGCAAAGGTTTCTATCATGATAAGCACTATTTGAAAACAAAAAGTTTAAGAAAAATTTGCATACATAGCACACAATTCTTATATACATATCTCACACCTATAATCTCATATTTACATACATACCACTTTGGTGTTTTAAAACTACGTATGAAAAGGTGTATTCTGCTTTTAAAAAGTGATATTAGTGTTATTTCTTTAATGTGAAATTAAACATTTGAGAGCTATGTGTGTGAATATGAAAGTTTAGGTGTGAGATATGTAAATACATAAGAATTGTGTGCTACTCAAGTAAATGCCTCAAAATTTAAATCATAGAAGCAATGCAAATAATAATAATATCTAAGAATAAATGAGAATAAAGTCCGGAAAAAATAATGTTGCATAGCTGGACCAAATAAGGCTTTCCAACAAATAAAAATAAATAAATAAATAAATAAATAACTCGATGACTACTCTGAAAATTTGTGCCCGTCTCTCTTGCTTAGAGAGCGCTTTGTGTTTATTATTTTGGGTCAATTTTTCACAAAACAATTGAAACAGTGGATGAAGCACTACCAAGATATTTCGTCCTCATTTTGTGAGGATTTATTTTTTAGTCGGGATCCACGTTTCCCATATGCACAAGATCCTATGGTTAATTACCCATTTTGATAATAAAAGAGTGTTTTCGATTAAGTGTAACCATTAAGCACAGAAAATTCAATATATATAGTAGAAGTAGACTTAGGATTTTGAATTATAAAATTTATCGATGGTGGGGAAATAATGATGAACCCAATCAAGATCACATGACTTCGTTGTCTTGGTTTGTCATGATCACTAGTTAACTTAGTCAGAGGAGGTAGTCAACTTAGTCAGAGGAGGTAATCAACTCAACCTAACTAAAAGATCATTTTCAATAACCATGGGTTATATCGTCCAAGAGACCCTCATAAATTTGAGATAGAAGTTTATCTAAAGGGACAAATTTAAGTTAGTCATAACTAATAAAGATTTTGTGTCAATCAAATATACTCTTATGACTCACAATTCAAATGATAGGAAGCCATTGAGGAATATATGGGTTGCAACCATGATCATAATTTAATCATGAAATTTGGCGTGAAACCACTCAATCAGAGAGTTTTAATCATAATAGCTACTTTTTATGGAGACGCTAGGTCAAACCAATGTGAAATTCATTATTTTGTAAGTTGAACTAAAATAAAAGTTAGTTACTCTTGACAAATTATTGTGGATAATGGGTGGAGTTTGCCTTAAGCCTTTAAGAGATAAATTTTAACTTGAATATTTTATTTTGTTAGTTTGAAAACTTAATTTGAAAGATTTGATTTAAAAATTGACTCTTGCAGTTGAAATTTCATATCAACTCAGCCATAATAGAGATTTGGATATTTTAAATACTTGTGCTTGAAATTTATTTGAAATTTGACACTTGAATATGTATAAACTATCAGTCTTATCAATTCTAATCTTTATGAAAAGAATGATCAGACTATGTGATTTAGACTTGTAAATTTTTATACTTATAATTTGGACATTATTAAAAATTACTAGACTCATAAACATCAGTCCTTAAGAGAAAGAGGATCAGAAAATTTGAGTGAGACTGATAAACCTACTCTATCGACAAAATGTGGCCCAATTGAGATCATGCATAATTCAATCATCTTGAGTATGATTTCAAAATAGTTTTTATAACTTTAAGACAAGCGCAGACTTTTTACAAAAAAAAAAATTGTACACTTTTTTAAATGAGAGTAATTTGAGTGAAAATTTCATTTGTGCACATGCAGTATTATTAGACCATTCAAGTTTAGGCATTTAGTCAATTTAGTGGAGCATGTGCGTGTTTACTTTTACAGATGTACATGCATCTTGATACTTTGCTTGTTGTAATTGCATAAATTTTGGCATACTTAATAAGATGTGATTGCATGATAATTTGTATTCTTGGAAGATGTTATTTGAGATTTGAGACTCATAATATACAAATGCATACATTATAAAGTATTTGCAAGTCCTTCGAGACAAAATATTGAAGTTGAAAATATCTCGAAGTGACATTACAAGACTTAAAATTATCCAAACTTTGTTAATTACACGGATACTTTTGTTCTTTAGATGCATGTACATAACCTGAAAGTACAACTAATGACATGAAGCTTAAAGTGTTTGCACAAATCTTAAGATATTTATATCCAAATTAAGCACAACCTTAAGACTTATTATATCACTAAATCACTCAAACCCCTTCAAAATTTATCTGAATATTATAGCCTTTGGAATGCATGTAATGTTTCATTTTGAGCTTTAAAAGAGTCATAATATTATGTCTGCTTGGAAGTTGGAGTTTCATATTCAGTGGCGCATGATTTAAATTTGAAATTTGATTCATGCATTTCAAAACATTGATCATTTGCATTTTTGCCTCAAAATATTAATTTTTTTAAAAAAAGAGGTTTAATTTTTACCATGATCAAGCCCAATCAGTCCAAAATTTGAATTAGATCGTAAATTAAAAAAGTTCAAAATTAAACCCATTATGTGCTATTCTAATAGCTAGAGGGAAACGGGCGACGATTTGGCACCAGATATCTGGAGGTCACACCAAACTTGATAGTTGTAACCTAAGTACTACAGAGAAAAACAAAATAACTAACCTGCGCAGGATTTAAATTACTCCATGGTTGTTGCAAGGTCATAAGCTCCCATAAGATCACACCGAAGCTGTACACGTCAGACTTCTCATTAGAAGGTTCATCGCGAAGAACTTCCGGTGCCATCCACTCCGGCTGACATGAGAAGATGCAGTGTCATTTATTTAAATAACTTGTATTAAAAATAAGGGTGTTTACATACACACCACCAATTCCTATGTATTTACATATCTAAAACCTCAACTTTTAAGTTCTTACATAAGACCAAATCTTTCATATTGCATAAAAATATTACTATTTAATTTTTAAAAGATGAAATACACCCTATCATGCATATGTAATGTGGCATAAATGTCAAAGTTGAAGTTTAGGTGTTAGATATGTACATCAATAGAAATTGTGTGGTATGTATGTAAATCTTCCTTGGATATAATGATGATAATAAACAGAGAGCCACTTACAGTCCCGGCAAGAGATTTCGAAGAAAGATATGTGCTTGCCTTCAACCTTGAAAGGCCAAAATCACAAACCTGGATGAACGATTGCAGAGATGAGATAGAAAAAATTGTGTAAGAGTACAAGTTGATTAACACACAAAAATAAATAAATTAAATTCTGACAAACATATTTTGATGTCATCCGCTTGACTTCCCGAAAAACATAAGCAGTTAATAGTCACTAGTTTTGATAAATAGTGGAGTCAACTACTGAACTGAACTAAGTCTGAGTGTCTCGGCTCTAATGTTGAATACTCCTAAGGTCATCTATGGTCGGCTTAACCAGATCTGAAGTGGGGGTTACATGAACCTCCAACGCAAGGCGGTGGCATTGATGGTAAGGTAACGACCCTGATATCTTGAAATGCTCTCTGTCATGTCAATCCCGTGTCTAGAGTCGGTGTCTCAGTAACATCATCCTTTGTCGTCACTGAAAATTATCGCATTGATGTTGCTCTGCTGGCAAGGGCCAATGGGAGAAGGGCTATGCGCTTCCCACCCTTAGTGAAGGAATATGTGCTTTTGAATCCTTCGCGTTGATTCCTTCGGTCAGATTGCCACGGACTCCCCCACAAAAGTGGCAGGCATCCATTGGGATCACGCCGCACCACACCTGATCCTGCAGCTGGCTACCAATCGAAAAATCCACGAGGCACCTCTTGTCAATGCTGGCATTGTTTTCCTTCATCAGTCACATAAAATAATATAGTTAGAAGTGCCTTTTGAGTCATGAGACCCAATTTTTCTACCATTTATGTAGATTTCGCACTCTTACTGCTCCCTCCATTAATAATGAGGCCGCATACCTTCTCGTTCACAGTGCAACAAGTGTAGAATATATTACAATGAAGTCATTGTGAATCTCTAATATTCTTAGTCTATAGGACTCGTCGAATCACAAGTGTCTCTCCTTCATCTGGTGGTAGATGATACACCTCACCCTGTTCCGCAGCTTTCTCGTCATCGCTAACCTCATCCACGGCACCCTGCGTGGTAAAAGACACGGCTCAGCTCATCGGGCAGCTAGAGGCAATGTGCCCAAATCCATTGCATCTGAAGCATTTTCTGGCGAGGACTGTAGTAGGCGTGCTACTCTGCTCAGGCTTCTTCTTACTGAGGATGATTTCATCCTTATCCAAACCAACTTTCTCAAGTCCTTGAGGTGTGCTCCTGTCGGTGTCCCCAACTGTGGATGGTTGTCTAACTGGTGGTGGTTGTCTACTTTATTTATGTTGTCTTTCTACTTTCAGTTCTAAGGTTTGGGCATCCCCAAGTGACCAATACGGCCGTAGTTCCACCATATTGCTATTAGCAGGCTTCAGGCCCCCAAGGTACCGGGCTACCGTGTGCTCTTCTGGCTCGATCAGCTCGCATTTCATTTATAAGTAGTCGAACAGAGCTCTGAACTCCTCCACGGAAAAATCTCATTGTTTGTAAATTGAGTTTCAGAAACATGTCCTAGCGGTAATGAGGTGGAAGATATTTTTTCTGCATGGCTTCCTTCATCGTTTCCCACTTGATAATCTTATTTATACCTTCTTTTTCCCCTATCTTTGTAAGTGCTCCTAACACAAAGAGGCACTCTTCTTCAACTTGATATCAACTAATTTGGCACTCTTATCCTCTGGCACATCTTAATACATGAAGATCCGTTCAACATATTGTAGTCAATCAACAAATTCATCTAGATCCATACCTCCCTCACACTATGGTAGAACCACCTTTATTTTGTAGTTTGTCAACCAACTAATGTCTCCTCTCTAGGCCTCGTCCGATATTAAATTCTACAACGTCGTGGCACTTCATCTTTATCCTTGACATCCTCCCCATGGAATTATTGCTCGAGATAAGAGGGGTGTCGGCACCTTGGCTGTTGGATACCAATTTCATCATTGGGATAGTGCCCATGTTGAGCTTCAAGCAATCAAAGCTTTTTAGCAAATATGTAAACCATGGATTTTCGAAGTTAAAACTATTATCATCGAGGGCGATAACTACAACATTATGAATTTTTTGCGGTCTACCATGAAGGAGGTTTGGTGTCATCGACCTAAAGAGGCACCAAAATTTGCTTATCCTTTAAACTTTAGGTAGCTTTTATTTTTCTATATACCACGGAAATGTAATAGGCCGTTCATTATCGTGTCAACTGTGCTCTTAGGGGTTCTTTTATTTTTATGCATAGAGTGATGAGAGGGAACTATCTAGCATTTTGGTAAATGATAGGTCCATTTTTTGTAAAGCATAGTTGCATAGTTTTTGTACTTTTTGATATAGTAATACAAATGCACACTTTCAATGAAGGGGTTGAAATTTTTGTCCCCTTCTCCTCTTCAACTTTCCCTGTCGTTACAAGATAAGTGCCTACCAAGTATCATTCTCGACGTCCGCCAATCCCAGCTAAAATTGGCGATTCTCTAGTTGTATCTCTTCCCAGGTAGGCTTAAGCATGTGTCATCTTTGTGGCATGGCTAGGGTTTGGGAATATGAAGGAAATTTTTGGTGGAGTGGTAAGGTGAATGCTAGAAAACCTTAAAGATAAGAGGTTATCTCTCATACCGAATAATACCAGAGATTAACCCGAACAATTGTAGAACAACAAATATTATTAGTTGAAGCAAATAAACGGTTACAACCAACACACTTAAAAGGAGAAATACAATAACATGACATAAGCAAACACCAATAAAGTGTATCTCAAGGGTTGTGGAAGTCGACTGGGTGGATCGGAATGGCTAGCGGGGATGGCGACAACAAAGGAATGCTGGTGGCAGTGAGGGGAGAGATGCAGAAATGCAGAGACAACAAGTATGGAGGCTGTATCGGGTGATGGCAGTGAGAAGTTGGGGTTGATAGTGGTAGAAAAGCAGGAAGGAGGTGTTCCCTAACTGTCTTGGGTGGCAGCGACACGGTGCATGAAGGAAGTGCGGTTTGGGCTGCAGCAATGGTGAAAGAGAGGGGGAGACAGCTAGTGGCTGAAGACTATAAAAAAATAGCAATCTAAGTGCTGTTGTGGGCGGCTGCAGCGAGGTACGGCGGCTCCAACAAGGTACGGCGGCAGGGAATGATGTGGGAGGAAGCGGAAGGGATTAGGCAGAAGATAATCACCACATTGGAAAAGAACTACAGTCTGACACCACCCAATCCCTCGGATATAACCCTCAAAGAGAAAAACAGAAGCCAACTCTATCCTAACATAAATCTGAAATCAGGAAGAAAAATTGTACCCTTAAACAACAAATAACATATTTATAATAAATACTAGTAGCTATGATAAGAAGGAAGTAGAAAAAAAGGAAATAGAAATAGGAAGGGAATAAAAAAGGCAAGGAATCAAATAGGAAAAATGGACTATAGTGCTGTAGCAGCTATACAGTACAGCGTCTGGTAAGCTCTTGCGCCAAGGAGATACAAACTTCTTCTAAAATTGGATTTTGGTCAACGTTTTAGGAAAAATAAATAAATAAATTAGTGGCATTTACATGCATAGCACACAATTCTTAAGTATTTACATATCTCACACCTAAACTTCCATATTACAACCATAGCAACCATAGCACTCAAATCTTTAACTCAAATCTTTAATATGACATCAAAAATAGCACTATTGTTACCTTTTAAAAATGAAACGCATTAAAACACCCAAGTACTATGTATAAATATATCAATGTTTAGGTATGAGATATTTAAATACATAAGAATTGCGTGCTACGAATGTAAAAACTATCCTAACAGCTGAAAGTTTGAATTAAATGAACAAGTTTTTAGGCCTCACTTTCACCGTGTACTTCTTGTCAACCAAAAGATTTGGCGACTTCAAATCCCGATGGACAATTGGTGGATTGCGCTTATGAAGATAGTTCATACCCTTTGCCTGCAAAAGGACTCATAATTCACAAACAATAACTAAATTTACAGAGAATATAAAAAATCAATTGTCTCTAATTTAGGAGCACATTTGAGAACAAAAAAATCGCATGGGGCACTTACATACATATCACAAAATTCTTATGTATTTACATATCTAACACCTAAACTTTCAATTTTTTACTTTTATAACACTCAAAATCTTTCATATCACATCAAAAATACCACTATCATTAACTTTTAAAAAGTGGAATACGCCATTTCATGCATATATAAGGTGACATTAATGTAAAAATCAAAGGTTAGGTGTTAGATATATATGAATTGTGCGACATGTATGTAAATCTTCCAATTTGTAAATTCAGTGACAGCAGTGGACAATAAAATTGTCATATTAAGGCATACCACATCAAAAGCCATATTTAATCGACGCCTCTCATCTAATACTTCTTTCATACCCGGCTTATGCAAAAGGCTATATAAGCTCCCTCTGCAAATTATAAAAAAGAAAAAACAAACCGAGCAGAAGGATAAGAGTACTCCCAGAAAATAACTGGAATGACAACAATAAAGAAAATGTAATCACCTTGATAAATACTCAGTAACAATGGATAGATGAGGAGGTTCAGTAACAGCACCCATGAAAAGCACTATATTGGGATGCCGCAAGCTTTTCATTATGGAAACCTGGAATCCAGTACAACATCAGCAAGGAACAAAAAAATGTATTTTTTCTTCCAGGGGGAGGTGGGGTGGGGGCATTAACATATATACCTCCCAATTTTTGTGTATTTACATATCTGCCACTTAAATTGTACTTTTTAAACTTACACCACCTAGATCTTTCATATCACATCAAAAATATCACCAAATTTAACTTTTAAAAAGTGAATACACCTTTTCATGTATGGGTAAGCTGGAAAAGTATGTAAAAATTAAAGTTTTGGTGTTAGAAATGTGAATGCATAGGAATTGAGAGGTATGCATGTAAATCTTCCTTTTTTTAAGAAAATATGTGCTCACGATAGTAGAATCATTGGAGGAGATTTGGAATATTTAGCAATGCTAAATTCAAGCAAGACTTCTGTTCAATGTTCTAAGAGGTTGAGAACTAAGATGAGGTGCTTTAATTGTCATGAGATAGGGTGTGAGCCCTAATAAATTTTATATGTTTAATATTTCATAAATAAAAATATGTTTAAAAATCAAATATAAAAAAAAGAACTCAACTAAATTCCAAATTTCATAACCATATGATTCATAATCTATTTTGCATATTATAACTGACACAAACAAAAAAAGTATATATACATAATCTGTTTGATAGGACTAAAATCTTAAGAGATTAATAAGCAAATTATCTGTTAAATCTTATTTTTATTTAATAAGAGAAAAATTATTTATAAAGCTAGAACTTAGAATTAAATAATTTAATTAATTTGAGCAACAGCTTGGTTCTATCGCACTACTAATGGAAAGCAAAAACACTGCTGGTAAGAAATATTTCTTGAAATTCAACAATAAATTTTCGTATGAGCCAATCATTCATCAGTTTGAATAGTCGTATGATGAATTTAAACTCGCAATTAAGCTTTAAACTAACAATGGAAGAAAAATTACATGAACCAGCACATAAGCTAAAATTTGAAACCTCACATAACAAGAAAAAAAAAACAAATATGGGATCATTTTAGTCCCCCAAAACGCAACGCGGGCAAATAAGCTCCCCCAAACGCACCCTAAGTTTCAAAATAAACCCCTAGATATTTGCATGGGGTCATTTTAGTCCAAGGTTCTATAAAAGTGTCAAATTAATCCTAAGACTCCATAAAAGATTATTTTGGCCCCCATTAAAAGAGTATAGGTTCTAAATTTGAACTTTTATAGACTCAGAGACTAAAATGGCCCCCCTACAAAAAGTCAAGGGACAATTTTGGCATTTTTCTCAAAAATCTATGTTTTCCATATAAAAAAAATGAAAAACAACAAGCGTTGGACTACAGAAATAAATAAAATAAAATAATCAGGAAAAAAATATGCATAAAAAATCCATAATAGTTCAGCATACCTCTCTTAGAAATTCTTTAAGCTTCTCAGGATGGAAGTCTTGTTCCATAAGAATCTTGACAGCTACTTCCTGCGAGTTCCAAAAATGACAAGGTTAACTATTAATTATCTTATAGTGCAGAAACCAAAAGATGCTAAACAATTCAAATTCATGGTATAGTAAAAAATTTACAAAAAAACAAAGCAGCAGAAAATCATAAACTTGCCCAATAAACATCACCTAAACTTGAAATAAAGACACGAAAACCAAAAGGAAAACCAATAGAACCTTGGATAATTAATCAAAAACTGGTAGTTAATACCACCTACATAATTGATTTACAAATATATGGCTTCATTGGCCATGAAATTCTCTTTTAAAGAATAAAATAAATGATAAGCTGAAAGCACCTCTCAATATAACCACAAATCATGGCATTCATTACAAATCCAGATAATTTCCAATCATCCCAATGAAGGACAAATTTAACCATTGAGAATCCCCTCCCAGAAAACATTTGGTATTTCAACTGACCGCATAAAATTTAGAACTATAACCAAGTACACTGGCAAAATGCCTCAAAATATAACTACAGACATTCAAACACTGCTTTGATAGCCACTCAAGAACCCAGAAATCAAATAAGACTGTTAAAGGCATAGGATGGGGCCAAAAACAAATATTAGATGAAGGCAAGAAAGGCAAGTCAAAATTATTTCTGGTTTAGATGCCAAAAACATATCCCAACATATTTGCCACTAAACTTTTCATCTCTTTATTTTCACTTGATGCAAACTGATCAAATCACACAAAACCATCAGACAATATCGTTGGAGAATTACACATAAGGCGACAGTTCGATTGGCACGTTACAAGTGGTTGACCAGAACAGAAAAGCATTTTGAGGTTTTCTGTAATGGCTAGAGCACAAAAAAAAAAAAAAAAAAAAAAACTTGGTTGGCCTGGTTGTCAAACAGCGAAAATGAGTAGAGAAGACAACCTCATCCCTTGGTTGGCCAATAGAAAAGAAAAATGCAAGAAACTATCATAGAAAGGGATAAAAGTGTAGAACTGTAGGATACATAATAAGGTTGGGGCTGTTAAAATGTCAAAAAACCTTACAATTTTTTTCAATTTTTTATTGTAGCGGATCAAATGATAATAGCAAGCATAACATCATAAACATGCTTCATTAACTATCATTATTAATTTTCAATTGGGGCATTTACATACATAGCACGCAATTCTTATGTATTTAATATCACATCAAAAATAAGCCCTACTACAACTTTTAAAAGGTGAAATACCCCTTTTCATGCATATATTTGAAGCACCAAGGTGACATGTATATAAATATAAAAGCTTAGGTGTGAAATATGTAAATACATAAGAATTGTATGCTGCGTATGTAAAATTCCCTTTTCATTTATGATTACTTCCAAATGCATGTCTAGACCTTAAATGATCATTTAGGCAAAAAATTCTGTTTTTTCTCTGCATGATAAATAAATATGACACCCTATTCGACAATGACAGAAGATTCTCAGAACTTGGTACATTGCTTCAAGTATGGCTAATATGATCGTATTAAAGAAAAAAAAAAGAATGTTTACAAGATAGCAGCTGTCAACCTAGGTGTAGTTATGAAGTAGTTTTAACTTTGAATTATCTAAAAAACAATTGCAAAGGTGTATGGAACATACCAAGCTACAATTAATGTTCAGCTATCTGCATGCATCATTCATATGATACAACAACCAGAATAAAAAAAAAATTCTATTTTATGAATAAATTAACAGATTTGATATTAAGAAAAATAAGTAAAATTACAATGTACAAAAACATACCGAACCATGCCATTCAGCGCGATGAACTGTCCCAAAAGAACCTGAAAAGAAAATACTCAGACACCCACGACAATGAAAAGAATTACCTCATCTGCAACCGTCAATAAAATTTGTAGTAGTAAAATCGCAACTGAAAGAAGCAATCAGAAAAATAAAATATTGAAGCATTTACATACATACCATCACTAAAATCTATAATATCACATCTGACATCACTATCCTTTTAAAAATGAAATCCAGCTTTTCATGCATACGTTTATGACACCAAGATGTAAAAAATGCAAATATCTAAATTTTGGGTGTGAGATATGTAAATACATAAGAATTGTGTGGTATGTATGTAAATTTCTCTAATATATTTACCTGCTCCGATTCTTTCTTTTAGGACCAAATCACCCCATGGAACCGTCAAATCATCCGTGACAAGAGGTACACTACTCTTGGACTTAGTTATGTTAGCTTTTAAATCATGGAAGGCTAAATTTTGTAAGGCATCCTTCTGCTCATCTTGCGGAATAAGTTTGAGTTGAGTTGATTCTATGGCCACTTGAGAAGCCTCATGTTGGCCATCTGCAGGAGTGACCCTTTCTACATAACGCTGTGGGACTTCGAAAAGCTCTGGTTTGCTTGTGGCAGCAGGAGAAGAAGTTGCATCTGCATTGTTAACATTATAATGTTTCGAAAAAAACAGTGTTCATATTATCTGCAGGATAAGTTATGGCCTCAGTAAAAAGAAAAATATCACAAATAGATCATCTAGTAGAAGCGCAATATTTTCTTTTCAAGGCAAGCATCAAAGACACGAGAATTTAACGGATATAAAAACTAGAAACGAAAGCATAATCTCCGCCAAAAGGTTTAACTTCATGAACACTTAATAAATTGCGAGATAATTTTGCAGAAAATAAGATCAATTTAACAGTACAGTAGCTTTGACCAACAAAAAGAAAAACTAATTAATATTTGGGGTATTTATGTACATACCACACAATTCTTATGTATTTATATATCTATCACCTAAGCATTCACATTTACATGCATACCACTCAAATCTTTAATATTATATAAAAAATACCCATCACTATCTTTTTAAAAGTCATCACTATCTTTTTAAAAGTGAAACACAACTTTTCATACAAAGATTTATGACACCAAGGTGTTTTAATGGTAAAAATCAAATTTTGCGGTATTAGATATGTAAATACATAAGAATTCTTTGGTATGTATAAAAATTTCCCTAAATATTTTAAGTTAAAGTAGCATGTTAAAAGTCACCTGTTGAAGCATCAGTAAACATCAGGTTCAGAGACCGGCAATCCACAAAATATTGCTTGGCCAAAGATTTGAAATTCTTAGCTATATCACCTGACTTCAAATTTGGAGGGCGCAAAGGTGACAAAATTGTGATGGAGTATGGCCCATTTATCAATGAATTGGGCTCACATAGAAAACCAGGATTTCCAAGCAAATCTACTAAATATTCCCTGCCAATTCGCAATCGGTATAGATTAAAAGAAATCAGGCATCAAAAGACAGAATATACAGAATTTCATAAATATATGAACACAAAATTAAAACATAACAGATAAATAAGAATCTGCTATAGTATTGTTTTAAAAACTAAAAACAAAATGTAAAAACATGAGCGCTATACAGTTTTCTTGATACAAAAATCAAATAATGTAAGGAGATCCAGTAACAAATTTAAGAAAAATTAGCACATAAGGAAATGTGAAGTAGTAGGGTATGATGAGGTAAGCAAAAAACAGATAACGTTGCAGGGCACATATATGATTCTAATGGGAGTTTGCAGAGCATCCATATGATTCCTAAGGGAGTCTGGAGAATCGATGCTCGAGATAGCAGATTTCTAATTTGGTTTGCCAAGCAAGGAAGAATTAAGAAAAAATCTGTCATTCACTGTATTTATCATTACCTTTTATTTTACTCTTTCTCCCACAATTTTTCATCATTGCCTCCTGCTTTACTCAAATTATTTACTAGTTATAAATATGATGTTAATTTATAAAAAACCCCTCATAAGTAACCTACATTCCGGTGGTTAGCGATGGTTTTGTTGCTCCTCATGTAAACTGTTTCAAATACTATTGTTTATCCTCTCAAGTCCTCTCTACTCCCTCCTTTTTCTTCATTAGTGAAGAAAGTGGATAAATAATATTTTCTTATTTCTTAATTATCAAATTGCAATTCTTCTCCTTATATAGGAAGCAAGGGCTAGGAAAAACTTAATTCCTACCATACAACTTATCAAAGGCACAACAACCATCCTCTCAAGTCCTACTCTTTCCTTTTTCTTCATTACTGAAGCAAGGTGGATAAATAATATTTTCTTATTTCTTAATTATCAAATTGCAACTCTTCTCCTTGTATAGGAAGCAAGGGCTAGGAAAAACTTAAATCCTACCATACAACTTATCAAAGACACAACAACCACCAAAATGAAAGAAATACAAAGTAATAAGAAATAAGAAGGGAATAAATAAGAATAAATCTCAAACAGGAAAGTCAGAATTCCACAATTAGCATTTTTAGCATAGCATAAACTCTATTAGGCAAAGCAGGTTGCTATCCTGCATGATAAACCCATTGTCATTTTTGTCAGACGCGTAGATTTTTGATATGGTGGATCCATTTTTCTACTCCTTGGTTGATCAATTTATATAATAGGTGGCTACTATGCTGGAATTCCAGATCTATGTCTCATGCTTCTCAAACTATTTATGAAAGCTAATTAGTCTAAATTTTCTTTAGGCATTCATGATATGTGAATGGTTATTCTTTGGGTCATCTTCTTTTTTTAAATCAATGCAAGTGGATACAAATACCTGCAGACTCTCAATTATTTAAAGCCTGTATTCTTGATAAGAAAGACATTTTTGCTACTTTTAGCTTTAGAAAGTATGATTGGCACTTCCTCATATGGCAATTGACAAAATATAAATTTTGCAAAAATGCCCTTGTATTGTGAGAAGAGAAATTTTTCAACAAAACTATGTTGACTATTTCAAGGCTCATCCCAAATTAAAGAAACAGTTCTTTAATGTTCCTTTTGTAGAGGTTGGTTCTTTTGATCACATAGTATGGACATGTAAGACTTTTGTGTTGTAAATTATATATCAACCAATTAAGGGTCGTTCTATTACTAGTATTGTTTATTTTCCTTCTGATATTACAATTGTCCTCAGCAATGCTACATTTGATTATATGCTGAAAGAATGCGACTAATGACTCAAGCTCAGTCCATTCTGAAGATTCTATCAGATATTCATTTAATTTTGTGAAAAAAAATGTTTTAGCTGATGTTTACTCATCAAAGAGCCAATAAAAAAATTATTTCTACATTCTCCCATATTTACTAAATTCCAAACTAAACATAAATACTCCCCTTATGATTTTCGCATTATCAACATAGCAAATGTCTGAATATTGACATGCATCCTTCCTTCCTAATTATCCATTATATCAACACGATTCAATGTTTTTTTCTTTCAATGATGGCATTTCTACATGACTGCTAATTCATATAACATTCTTAATGGGTGGTTATAAAATTTCATAGCTATAAGTACAAAACCATGAACCTCCTCTCTTATAATTGTCTCCCACTCCTTCAAGTTAAAACCCTAATTCCCCACCAAACCTTGGCCATCTCTTTAGCGCATTAGTCATCGTGAGTTTGAATACTTCTATATTTTTGGACTCATGGTATGATATTTTGGTGACTCTTCTTGTGAGTTGTTCTTGATGCCAACGCCACCCTATTGTATCAGCATGTTGTCTATCCTTGGCCCTAGGGATCCTTTATCACTCCAACCCTTTTTGTCTATTTTCACCTTCGATGTACTTTTGCACATTCTCTCATGTTTGTGGTCATGCTTGATCACTTTCGTTGCACCTTCTAAATTCAGAGTAGTTTGTTATCCCATCTACTACTACATTAGTTTCTCATAAGGCTTTGGTTAACCCCTTCGTGAAATCACCATCACCTCTTCTTGTGGTCATGTCTCCAAAGCTTCTCTTTTTTCTTCTCTAGTGGTCAAGCCCCCTTTTCTATCAGCCTCCATGCTCGTTTGCAAATGTGTTTTGTGGTTCAAATGCAATGAATAACCTCCGCTCTCCATAATATAATCTTCCACTTTATTTTTTTTTTTTTTTTTGTCAAACTTCTACAATCATCAATATAAATGGTCTTCTTCTTTTGAAGGCAAGCCTACTCTACTATTTTCGGATTGAGAAGTACTTGTGCTCGTTAGGCCTCTCTTCCTTTCACTTATTGAAAATTTTTCTATATGCAGGCCTAGCATAGAGATATTCGCAAGTTTTTTATTGTATTACAACTAATTGATGACTACTCTAGTTGGCTTTATTGACCTTAAACATATCCTCATAAAACCTTCATTAGAAGCATATTTCATCAGACTTCTTCTCTCGGCGCTCATACTATATTAGTGGAATCCCGCTGCAAATGTTACAAGGTTCCCCTCATTTTAATTGTTCAGTGGAGCCTCCTGCCACTACTTTTGGATCTCTTTTCCACAATTATGTCTGCATTACTTTAACCAATCTATCTTCTTCTCTTTAGATTCATTACAAATGGATACTGAAACAACTCATTTTTCTAGGCCCGTTATGGCTAGAGTTGTAATGGAATTAGATATTACAGCTATATTTTATAAAAAGTTGTGGATTGGATCTCGATCATCAAGATATCAATAGAAAATGAAATTTTAAAATATTAAATCATATTGTTCTTATTGTCATATTTTTAACATAATTTTTTTTAACGTGCCAAGTCACATCCTGAGCTAAGGCCTCCAAAATTTCAATCACATAACCTTTCAGTTGATGCTCGAATTGATCATTCTCGTTGTTTGGTATAAAACCTCCCATCATCTAATTAGATCTGGTCTTAAAATATTGAACCAGGATCATTAAATGATATTCAAGCTCCAGCTAACCCCATTTCAGTTGTTGATACTCAATTGAGAATACTTAAAATGCCATAGTTTCAATCAATTTGTGAACAGAATGGTGTTCATTTACTATTCTAATTATGAGTAGAGCAATCAGATTGTTAATTCCCTGAAAGAAAATATTTCATATATACTATAACAGGTAGGAATCGTAAGAAGATTCATCACCACTTTCCATTGTTCACTACACTTAAAGCTAGACAATCTAAATGATTTTATACTATCCAATGCATTTCTCTTTTTATTTCGACATTTCTAATAAATGTCTTTGATGTACTCTTCTCTTTATCCAGTAAATAAATGTAACTTTGTTTATAAAAAAATCTCCTTAGTTAACCACTAATAAAACAGTCCATAACTAATCCCTTTATTCATAATCCAACAAAAAAAGCTAAAAATCGGTCAAAAGACTCTTGAATCTCCTAATACCCTACGTAAACTTCTTGATTGCAACTTAAAGGACCAAACCGACACACACACACATAACCGTAAAAATAATTCCTTCAATCCCCTTTCCCGACCCCGTGAAAAATTATAAAAAATAATGCAACCTTTCAAAATAAACTAAACCCTAACCCTAACCCTAGCCAACTAGAAAATAAAGAAGGGTCCAACCTTCCTATTCTATAACCCCACTTGGCGTCATCACCTTCGCCACTTAAAAATCCTCCCAAAAACCAACATCATATTGGTAGTAGAACCCAGGAAAATAGAGTCTTGGTTTACTTAGAGCAAAGGAAGAATGTCATCAGAAACATTGTAGCAATCAAGGTAAACACACAGCATCAACAGGCGTCTAAGTTTCTTTGTGAACCCTCCAAGATTGAGTAGCATCTAAACTTACCTTGGTAATTAATTTATCTATTGCAAAGAAATCTAGGAATTATTTCATAAACTTTAATCAGTGAACTCCACAAAAAAATTTGTCATTTACATACATGAAACCTGCCACACTTTTATGTAATTGACATTCATACTATTGTGAGGGTATATTCCACTATTACGAGCCTATGCAAACCTGCTGAATAAGTTATCAAAAACATTAGACTGGTTTATTAGCATACAAATATTTGGCTAAATTTATTAATATTAGTAGTTAAGTGCAAAAAGACCACAATTCTTTACCGTACATCATTTATCATTATACATTCATCATCACGCATTCACCATTAAGCATTAAGCATCTTTTTATAGAAAACAGAACAAATCAATCTCCTTTGCATAAAGTTTCTTGCGACTTATCATCATGCCTCCCAAAGCCGTAAGTAGATCAATTTGAAGGCATAAAAAATACTGTCGAAGACTAGCCATCTAGGGTTGATGGAATAGATGATAATTTGCAAGTTATATTTAGCATGATATAGGACAGGAAACACAAAATGCGCAAGTTAAAATCGAGCTGTCATCAATATAGAACCTGAATTTCATGATAGCCCTAGAAAAGAATACTTTAATAGGAGAACATCCATTCAAAGACTCTAAAATAGACCTGACTATCAACATAGGGTTTATGTAATCCTCACAACAAAAATTAAATTTGAAATGTCAGTTTTAGATGGTATGCGTGATCAAATTAAATTCTTTGATCAACTAAAACAAATTAGTAAATTCTTAAAAAGGTACAAAATGGATGATCATCAAAGGTTAATTTTGCTAAAATGAAATTAGTTGGGTAGGAAAAATTTATTTAAAAATATCATGCAAATGTGGAAACAAATAGCAAACAATCTTAAACAAGGTAGAAATGAAGGAAAAAGTTAGGCACAACTATTGTACATAACATAGTTGTAATAATGCGCCAGAAAAGCTTTAAACTAGCGGCTAAAATGATTAAGATTGAATTAGACTTACCTAAACAATAGATTTTTAGGTAGGCATATAGCTTTCCAAGCAACTAATTGCAATACATTCAAAGATCGAATTGACAGAAAGACTCAAAAGCAAATAGAGAACACTATGCAAAGCTCAAATTTAGAGAAGTCCATAAATTAATAGGAAAGTGCAAAATAGTCCGACTATTTTCATGTAGTCATTTTACAGGAGTCCATAAAAGTGCAAAATTAGTCTCTAGGCTTTTTAAGTATTTGCTGAAATAATTCCCATGAAGGACGATTTCAGCACCTATTAAAAGAGTTTTGGATTAAATGTCGAGATCTGACTGAGATGGAAACAAAGTTGTGAGAATTAATTCTAATTTCCTTAATTAAGGAAATTAGAATTAACGTAAATCCCTTAAATTAAGGAAATTAGAATAAATTTGTAATCCCTTAAATTAAGGGAAATAGTTAAATAGTTTCCTAGTTTTTCTCCTTTTAATATCCTATATAATATCTTGTATGATCAATTCAAGAGGAGTGAAATACAAATTATTTCTTTGATTTCCCAAGAGACCAAGTTGAAACCCTAGAGGACACCGCCTTTGTCGCGTTTCTCCGACTCTTCCTCGCGTTCCTTTCGAGCACGGGCTGCTTCGGTCCTCTGCCTCGATCCAGTAGCAGTTGCCACGAGCAGAAGCGACGAGCACGGCGAGCACGAGCGACTCTTCCGAGCACGAGTAGAAGCGACGAGCACGAGCGACTCTTCCAAGCACGAGCAGAAGCGACGAGCACGGCTAAAATCTCTCTTTGTCGAGCACGAGCGACTCTTCCTCCCGAGCACGGGCGTCCAGTAGCGACTCTCGGAGAGGAGCAGCACGTTGTCACGAGGAAGACCGTCCTTTGCCGCTGCAATCCTGTGCCGGAGATCTCGCGATCTTTGCCGCTCTTTGGATTTTTCTTTATTAGCTGCCTTAACTGTTGTGATTCTTTTACCACTGCAGGTTGATTTCTAGTCTTAATTGCTGCAAATTTTTCTTCCTCACCATGTCAATGTCCGAAACCACTATCTCCAACTACTCCAACAATTCTGAAGAATACAATGTTGTTCAGAAAATTGGAGAGTTGCAGAATATTCGGGCATCCAATAGGTTCAATGAGAAGAACTATCTCAAATGGTCCCAAATTGTCCGCACATACCTAAAAGGCAAAAGGAGGATTAATCACTTACTTGGAACCAAACCAGAAAAAAGGGATCCAGCCTCTACAGCATGGGAAGAGGAGGATTCCATGATTATGTCCTGGCTATGGGATTCTATGGACCCAACGATCAGTGACACTTGCATGTTCTT